TCTACAGGCCTGAGGAAATTCTCTCCTGCTAAAATGGCTGCTGTGAGTTGATGAGCCCACCCAATGCATAACCTCAATTCCATCTGCAAAGCCTTTTCAGCCAGGTGACTCAGGGCAGTAACACCAGGACCTCTGGGTCATGGGGCCATCCTAGAATTCTGCCAACAACATCAGCCTTCCCTGCTTAAACTATAATTAAAGGCAACTAAGTAGCTCTAGTTAATACGTAAAAATAATAAATGTGAAAGCAGCATCCTAGATAAAAAACTTACCATTTTGCAAACCCCTAGTTAACTGACTTAGGCAAAGATCATCAACCACAGTGAAACGAGTAGCAGCTGAGGTAATGAGGGACCCACCACATCTCAGTCCACTTAGAGAAAAGACCCTAATGCCACATACCTTCTGCTACAAAGTACACAGCACCATCAAAGACTGGCAAAAAAAAAAAAAAAGTGGAACCCACGCTTAGCTGCCAGAGCTAACTTCCTGTGGACAGGAAATGAAGAAATAGAAGTGCAATTTAAAGGACACCAAGAAGCAGCAGCCAGAAAAAAAAAAATCACAATGTGAAACATTCTACAATGTAACTGACCCAATATTTTTTTTTTTGTTTTTTTTTCTCAATAAGTCAATTGACCTGTATGTATATGGGGAAGGAGAGGGAAGCACACAGGGCAACAGTTCTAGATTTAAAAAAAGACACTATGACCAATTACAGAAGCAATACCTGAGCCTCACCCAAGCAAGCCAAAACCAAAAAAGCATTTTAAGTTAATCAGAAAAATCTGAATATATACTCGGTATTAAACTCTACCAAGAGTCATCACAAATTTTCATTGCTGGTAATAAAGTTACTGTGTTGTATAAGCAGACAGTCTTACGTTTTTGAGACGCATACAGGGCTGAAATGCTATGAGGGGCATGCTATTTGCAACCATGTAAAAAGTGGATGAATAAAGCGTAATACTAAAAAATATTGAATCTGGGTAATGGCTACTGGGGTTCATTATTCTAGTCTACTTCCAGACTAGAATGGCTAAAGAGCTCTTACAACAAACAATTTCACTGAAGAGCGCTCATTCACAGAACATCTGCTGAGAACCAATCACTATGTAAAATGCTTCAGGTACATTTCCTGCCAAATCCTACAGCAGCCTTAGAAAGTAGGAATTATTGTCATTCCTGCTTTTGCAGGCAAGAAAATGAAGGAAATAACCAATTCAAGGTGTAGCCAATAGGCCTGCCAATCACCCATTATCTAGCAAGACCTGAGAGGTCAAGGAAATAAAAGATGTCAACATCTTTATTTCACAAGGTGTTTTAACCCATCAGCTCTAGCACACACTGGACTTGAGAGAGGTTGGGGAGGGATGAGGAGAGGCATTGACAGGCGGGGGGGAGGGAGGGAGAGAGAAAGGCAGGCATCCACAGAGCAGTAACTGGGAAACAAAGAGAAGTACCACAGGGGGAGACAGGCCGGGGGCCCCTCCTACTGTTCCCCAGTCCTTACTACCAGCCAGAAAATGAGAGGCCACACAGCAAAAGGAGGAGCCAGACAGACAAGAGCGAGACACATTAAATATATGACTCTGTCAAACATAATCACAGATCTGTGTCTGGCGGGTTGACTGCGTGCTCTCGCCACCCAGGGGAGTGAGTGGCTCTTCTTCCCTGCTACCTTCCACGCTTGCACCCAAGTTTCTCCAGACCAACTCCAAGTTCACAAATCAGAAGGAAGGAAAGAAGGAATCATCTATTTATTTAAGCAAATTTTAATTTTCTAACAGCTTCACCGAGATGAATTCAAAAGCCGCCAGTGCCGGGGAAGCAGCTCTTCAAGAGATCTGTGCGCGGGGCAGCAAGCTAAGGCCTCATTAAAGCCCTCATTGCTTAGATCACTACTGGCTCGGCCAAAGGCTCCGGGAACCAGTGTCCCGAGTTTCAGTCAGAACAATAGGAACGTCTTAGGGGGGTGTTGGGGGGAGGGGCGCAAACAGGAAAGGTGGCAGAGTGAGACAGGGGAGCAGAAACAGGAAAGGCATCCAGGCATCCTTGATTCAGAAACTGGGACTGTAACAGGGTGGTCCCTAGGAAAAAGGGAAGTTCCAGGTTCCCTGCCCCACCCAGAAGGAGGGTGGAGCTGAGCAGAGAAAAAGGAGAGAAGAGAAGGGGAAGAAGAAAATGAAGCAGGATGAAGAAGGAGGAGACCTGAGGAAGCCACATGGAGCAGCGAGCATGTGATGAAGAAACCGGGCTTGTTTCCTGACCCTGGACTGGTTAAGGCAGATGTGGGTGAGAGACCTGTAGGGAGGTGACTATGGCAGTGTTTATATTGATTTTAATTTTGCTCTTTTGTTCCCAGATTTGTCTGGTCACTTCTGACCTTTTCCACGGGTCCTGGCCAGAAGGTGCTTTAGTCTAGTGGCGGGCTTTCAGGCCTTGCTTTGGGCCAATCCTTTTTGGGTTGATTTTTGCTCACGAGGGGATGGGTCACTTCAGGTGTTTGATTTAGAAGTTACATTCTTTGTGTTCCGTATTGTATATTTACTGTATTAAAGTCCCTTTTCATTAAAGTTTTATATGTTTTGTCTTGTTGCGGCGGATGGCAGAACCCACTTAGAGCAGGCAGGATTTTGGGCTTCCGGGATGCCCCTCTCTCCCCCTGTCCTTTTAACAGATTTGGGGTGCTCTATAACAGGACAACAGCTCCAGGTAAGGCAGGCATGCAACAACCTACTGGTGTGTCTGGCTAATGGAGAACCACCTGCTCAAATGATGTTAAACAATGCTTTCCTCTCCTCTCACGGGAGCATTATTAGCAATGGCCAAAAGTGTATACGACCCAAATATCCATCCACAAATGAGTGAGCAAGCAAAATGTGGCACATCCACACAATGAAAGGTGACAGGACAGGAGCAGGGAAGAGCAAAGTTCTGCTACAAACCACGTGGGTGGGCCTGGAGGGCCGCAAACTGGGAGAAACCCACAGCCCCAGCCAGAGAGGCAGAAATTGAGGAACACTGATCGCAGCTAACCAGGGCAGCAAGGAGAGGGAGAGTGGTAATGACTGCTAATGGTTTCTTTGGGGCAGGGAAGGTGTTGCAAATGTTCTAGAAAAAGATGGAGATGACAGCCAGCAAGGTCTGTAGGTGCACTGCGGTCTGAGCCGCACGGGCATTAAATGGGCAAGGGATATCCACGTGGTTTAAAGTAGTTTCACTGAAAATATGTTTTTGAACATTTAGATTCTTTATTATAAAAATAATAAAAATATCAAAAAGTTCTTAACTAATAAATAATTGCCTTTTTCCTAATCTCAAAGACAGATTTATCTGTCTCTGGTTAACATCTTGCTAGTTTCTCTGGTTAACATCTTGCTAGTTATTTTCTGGTTTTCAGCAAAACATCAGAAGCAAAGGAAAACATTTTGATGAGTGATAATTAACCAAACACAACGAGGAAAACAATGAGAAGCACCAATAAAAAAGGAAAGGAAGCCAAATGCCCTCGACGGATCTGTTCCCAACTGGAGCTGGTGGTCAGCGCAGTCTCTGCGCCACTGTCCTCCACACTCCTCTCCAGATCGCATTCCCACCTCTGACCACCGTAACTCCATGTGGATCAAAGAAGCTACTAAAGTGTTATGATAGGCTAGCTGACTTTTATAGCAGGTAAAAAGCACTTTACACAAATCCAGAGACTGTACCACTTTCTACTTTACTTGAACAAAAAGCATTACAAACTCTCCAAAAACAAAATTATCCAGTTCTTACTGGGTGACCTAGAATATACCCTCTGTTCGTCGTCTCCTTTCCAATTGTCTTTCTGGAGTTGTAATAGATAAGGAGACCTGGAGTCCGAACAAATCACTTCACCCCTAGGTCTGTATTTCCTTACCTGTAAATGAAAGGGCACCCTCTCAGAGATCTCCAAATCATGGAAACAGGACTAAATATAGAAATAGAATTCTAAGGAATGTTTAGTAAAAACTTCACTTCTTGAAATTTTAATAAATTTCCCCTAGAATAAGATAACTCTAAAAAACAGTTCCTAAGCAAACTTTATCTGAATAAGCATGGGAAGCAAGCAAAGAAAGCAGAAAAGCATTCTGTTTGCTCATTTTCAGCTATGTTGATATCATGTAAAAACTCAAAATCACCTGTTAGCTACTAATAATAATGCTATATAATGAATTCCGCATGACAATGGGAACTGATTTGGGGAATGGAAACAATCCTGTGGACTAGAACTTACCTAACCTGGATGATGGTCACCTCTAAAGAGCCAGCCTTTCAGTAGACAGGTGGAAACACACATATCTCTGTTCTTCAAAGGGCTGAAGCGTCATACCAAAGCTGCTGTTCAGTCCTAATTTCAATGGGCCCTCCATCTGGGAACCATATACCTGCTCTGCCTGGGCCAAGACCAGCATGGCCAGAGTTGGGCATCAGCCAGTGAGAGATGGCCTTCTGCCTCTGTGCCCATAGAGTCCCTGTGACCCACTAAATGGAGACTCCAACTGGGGTCACAGGAACAAGAGTAATCAGTATGGAACAGAAAAACAATGAGCAGCCTCTGAAACCCCTTAACGTGCACACACTATGGGACACCCAGAGGCCGTGAGCCTGGGACTGCATTCCTGAAGCCAAGCGCTAACTTGCTGTGCTCACAAGAGCACACAGCAGGGAGAGAAGCTAAGGACCCCAGGAGGGGTGCCAAGGCCTGAGGGAGGGTCCTGAGCCCCTGCTCTCTCAGGTTCCCAGCCCTAACTGCCTGAAAGCCTACAGTCAAATTAGTCTATTTCCTAGTAGCTTACACATAAGGTCCATCATCAGGAACACACAGTCACTATCTTAGTAATTACATGAAATTCCCTTCATTCCCAGTTCTACCTATAAAGCATGTACACGGTTAGAGTGGCATTTACACCTTACTCTAGTGTCACCCAGTATCACCATTAAAATCATAGCGTGCCAAATAAATAAGCAGAACTTACCAATTTTCTGGCTGAAAATCTTGTCAAAGGTTATTTCATTTCTCTCCTCAAGATATTTCTGCATCACACTCCGGATACTAAAAGAGAAGAGGGACATTTTTTTTTGAACAATCTGGAAAGTGCAATGAGTAACCACTATGAGCATGCATGATACAGGATGCCTTCAATCAAACAACAGTGTAAGGAGAGACCCCTTTCTGATGTCCACACCCATAAGAAAGGCCAAACAGACAGCACTGGGGGAGTCACTGTCCCAACTAATAACTTCTCAGCAAGTGAGGGTGACTTATATGGAGACTAAGCACCAGAAGTAACTGAAGGACTCTGGGAAAGTTCACCCTCAGTACAATGCTTTTCAAAAAAATACACACGAGTAGACACTGGATAACTCCTGCTAATCAATTAAATGGGTTGCTTTCTAAAAAATTAAAAGCTCATGGATATAATTTTTAAAAATTACGGTAAGGTAAACAAAGTTCTCAATGAAATGGAGTAGAGTACACATAAGCTGACCCACCCAGAGACAAGGAAGCTTAATATACAACAGAAGGAGCAAGACAGAAAAATGGGGAGAGGAGGGATTATTCAGTAAGTGCACTCCAAAAGAGATCATCTAAGTGGAAAAGGTAGAAACTGAATCTTTATCACCCATGATGAGCAATTTGACTTTATCCTTTTAAAAAAAAAAACAGTAATAGGGTTTATATATGTGTATATAGAAATAGAGAGAGAGAAGTTCATTACATTAAATATATGTTATAATATATATTAAATGCGTGTATTTTAGGATTGGGATTTTCATATGTAACTAAGCCTACTCAACATACAGAATTTCTATCACCCTAAAAGTTACCCCTTTGTAATCAATCTCCCCATATTCTAGGATCTTGGCAACCACTTACCTCTTTTCTGTTAAGACAGCTTACTGCAGCAGTTCAAGTATTTTATATAAATAAACTCATGCAGTATGCTGTCTTTTGTGTCTGGCTTCTCTCATTCAGCATAAGCAAGCTTCATTCATATTGTTATGTGCATAAGTATTTAGTTACTTTTTATTGCCAAGTGGTATGTCATTGTATGAATATTCCACCATTTGTTTACCCACTCATCTCCTGATAGACATTTGGATTGTTTTTAGTCTAGAGCTATTATGAATAAATCTGGTTTCAATATTTATGTATAAGTCTTATTATGGGCATGTATTTTAATTTTTCTTGGGTAAATACCTAGAAGTGAAATTGTTGATCATATGGTAAAATTATATTTAACACTATGAAAACTGCTGAATTATATTCAAACTGGTTATACAATTTCACATTCTCAACAACAGTGTATGATGGTTCCAGTTACACCACATCCCTTGTCAACACTTGGGTTGTCAGTCTTAAGTTTTAGCCATCTGTTAGGTGTGTACTGACAGAGTACTTTAATTTGCATTTCCCTAATGAATAATGATGGACATAATTGGGCTTTATTTATCTTCTTTTGTGAGGTGCATAGAGAAGTGTTGTAGTTGAGTTGTTCCAGTTTTAAAGTGTCAAGTCCTTTGGCACTTTTATGTGAAAATAGTTTCTCCCAGTCGATATACCTTGCCTCTTCATTTTCTTCATGAAGTCTTTCTAAGAATGGAAGCTTCTAATCTATGAGTCCCAAGTTATTATTCCTTCAGTGAACAGTCTAAGAAATCTTTCATATCCCAAGGTCAAGAAGATTTTAAGCTGTATTTTCCTTTATAAATTTTAAAGTTTCAGCTTTCAAATTTCCTTTACAAATTTTAAAGTTTCAGCTTTTAACTAAAAGATCCATTTCAAGTAAATTTCTGTGTCTGATACAAGAATCAAAATTCTATATTATTCCCCTTAATACATAATTACTCCAGTAGCATTTATTGGGGAAGGGATGGAACTATGTCCTTTCTCCACTGAATTGTCCAGAATCTCTATGATTCAACCCTAAACAAGTATAAATCGATCTTTGGACTATCCTATTGTAGTAATTTATTTGTCTATCCTTATATAAATACTGTATTGATAGCTATAGGTTCATAGTGGCTTGAAATTAGATAACCTATGTCTTTCAAGTTTTTTTATTTTGCTTTTTGGCTATCCTAGGTCCACTGAGTTCCATAGTTTTGTTGTTGTTGTTGTTTTTAAGTTGCCATGGAAATTTTCTCCAGAAAAAAAAAAAACTCTGATAGGAATTGTACTGAATCTATAAACAGGGGGAAATATTCAGTATACAACCCATCACTATAATATTAGTCTCCATTTATCTAGACCTTCTTTAATTTATTAATATATTTTAGTTTTCAAGATAGAAGATTTGTCCTTTCTTTGTATTAGCTTTCTCTGGTTTTGGAAGTTAAGATGTGATTTATAAAATGAAATAATTACTTCTTTCTCCATAATTTTACATAATAGTTGGTATAAGATAGTATTTATTCTTCCTTAAATGTCTGATAGTACTCAAGTCAAGTCATTTAAGCCTAGAATTTTCTTTGTATAAAGTTTAAGTTACAAATACCATTTCTTCCACAGATACAGGGCCACTCATGCTTTCTATTTCTTCTTGTATAAGAGTTGATAGTTTGTGTCTTTTAAGGTATCTGTCCATTTCATCAAGTCACCTAATTATTAACAGTGCTAATTTTCCCTATTGTAATGTCTAAAGATTTACTCATAAAAATTGCCTTCTTAATAACGTTTTCTAATATATATATATATACATATACATATATATTTTAGATTTATTAACTTTTTAAAAGATGTATTTACTTATGTATACAAGAACTGGAGTGTAAGCCAGAGGTGTGGGGGGCGGGGAGAGGGTGCAGGTGTGAGAGGATTCACCAGAGAGAGTGAGAAAAATAGTCAGATCTAATGAAATACACTGCTGAGGGGAGCAGCAGGCAAGACAGAAGAGGTCTGCTGTACCATGTGGCTAACTCCCTAGCCAGGGATTGAATGCAGGTCACAGTGGCTGGTGATAGCTTGCTCAGTCTGTCTTTAACCTCTGTGCCACCAAGGAGCCCCCGAAGTCTTTTTTCTTTTTTTAATGCATATAAGAACTGGGGTTGAGGCCAGAGGTATGAGGGTGAGGTGATTCACCAGAGACAGAGTGGGAAGCAGAACAGGCAGATCTATTGAAATACACTGCTGAGCGGAGCAGTGAACAAGACAGGAGAGTCTGTTGTACCATGTGGGCCAGCTCCCTGGCCCAGGAAGGAATTCATGCAGCAGTGGCTGCTGAGAGCTTCATAGTTCTGACTTTAACCCCTGTGCCACCAGGGAGGTCCCGTTCTTTTGTTCCTTTTTTTTTTCTCTTGGATTTTGTTTTTTGATTACATATTTGTCTCTTATTAGTTTATTATTTTATTATCATTATTACTTCTTTTCTTTTTTCTCTTAATTGTTGCACTACGTTTTATGATATGCAGCTTTTAGTCATCAATCTACCTTCAAATAATAGTTTAGTATCTTATGCAAGAATCTCACTGTGACATATTTATTTCCCTGCCCTTCTTCCTAGCCTGTATGCAATGTTGTCATTGTTTAAATGTGATAAACCCTAGTAATGCATCTTTAGACATGCAGTAATATTTAACATAAATGAAAATAAGAAAAAAAGTCTTATATTTAACCTTATTTTTATTATTGCTGGTGCTCCTCATATCTCTGCGGACATCCAAATGTCACCTAGTATCATATACCTACTTACTGAACTTCCTTGAACATTTCTTATCAGGCAAGTCAATGAGCAATAAATTCTCTCAATCCCCTTCTAAAAACATCTGTTGCCTTCATTGTTAGAATATACTTTTATTGAGTGTATAGTCCCAGGTTGGCAGGTATGTTTATTTTTCTTTTCTCTCAGCACTAAATAACATAGCTCCATTGTTATTTGCTTGCAGTTTCTGACATGGATTGTGCCATGAATTTTACCTTTGTTCCTTTGTACATAACAATTATTTTCTCTATGGCTGCTTTTAAGAACTTATATTAATCTTCATTTTTGGGAGTTTAACGATGCATCCAGAGGTGTGCTCTTCTCTCCTAATTTACTTCTCCTTGAGATTCTCTGAATGAGACACTTGAAATAACGGTTTCTTGTCTTTCTAATTGACTTTGGAAAATTCTCGGCCATGTTATTTTCGAATACTTATTGTATTCTGTGTTTTCCTTCCCTCCTACTTTTGGTACCCCACATGCTCATATTTCAAACCATTTTATATTTTCCCATGGTTCTTGGAAATAGGGCATGGCACCGTAATTATAAAGCCAAAGACTGACAGCACATAAAATCATAATTTTTTAAAAACTAAGGGAATGATTACCACACAATTCATAATAAATAGCTGCCTTGGCCCTCCCTGGTGGCGCAGTGGGTTAAAGCACAGCACTAAGAAGCTAAAGCCACTTCCACATGAGTTCAATTCCCGCCTGCCCCGGAGGAGATCACATGGCGTGGCAGACCTCTCCTGAGCCACCCGCTGCTCCCCTCAGCAGTGTACTTCGTCGATCTGCCTGTTCTGCTCCCCACTCTGTCTCTGGTGAAGCCTCTCGCCACCCCTGCACCTCTGGCCTGTACCCCAGTTCTGTATGCATAATAAATAAATCTTTAAAAAAAATAAAAATAAAAAAATAAATAGCTGCCTATCTGGAGGGAAAGTGATGGAATTAGAAAGGAATTCACAAGCAGGAAGGAATTATTTTCAATACCCACATCTTCATGATAGTTCCATAAGTGTTTACGATATTTTAAGAGAATGAATGAATAAATTATTTATGACTACAAAAGAAGGTCATCGTAAGTGTGGCATGAATCAAATGACACGATTAATCAAATTCTGTATAATCATTTGAACCATGGTAGGTACTAAGCAAATTACAAGTTTCAATAAAGATATTTAGAAAATGAAGGGCTTATTTTCAAACAAGTTACAAAACATGCTAAACAAAACATTATACTATGCAAGGGAAAACATGTCAGTAATTATAGCAGCACATTGTCTCAACCAATTACTTGACTGCATTTAATTAGAACGTGGCATAATAAATCACTAATGATAGCCTT